CACTTGGAGTGCAGTCTCGTGGCTTGAATTTGTTGGCGCTGAATTTGTTGTCTTTGTGCTCGCGTGGCGATGACCCTGTCGAGAAGTGCACCTGCGGGGCAGAAGGGGGTGGGAGGGGGATCTTTGTGCAGGGTACTTTGTGGGGAAAAAGGAGTTTTTATCTACACATATCACTCTGAATCATCCCAGAGTGGTTCAGTAACATGCCGCCTCTCGAGCGGAGCACTATCGCCACGTGCGCGGAAGTTGCGCGTGTAGTTGTTCCACTGCTCATTCTGCTCCTCAAGGCTGCCGGTGAGCTCCTTGCATGTGTGCTCCCTGTACCACCGCGCGCGGTGCCGACGATATGCTTTCTGCCCGTGCTCACCGAGGTCGTACTCGGAGCGCTCCGGTGGTTTGCCCTCGGTGACAGCCACGTCGGCTGGCGGATCGCGCGCCCACTCCGGATTGGCGACGCTGGTGTCGAGTAGTTCGTATTTGCACGCGAGGTTGTACGACGTGTCCTTGTAGTAATAGTACGGCATGTCGCCCTCGTCAAATGCCTGCAGGAGGCGGTTGCTGCCACTTGTCGCTGGCGGCGGCGGCGGCGGCAGCGTACCTGCGCTCCTGTGCTGCGCCTCGAGCTCGAGCCTGCGCTGCTGCTGCTGCGTCTCCAGATCTGGGAAGGCGCCCAATCCGATGCAGTGGCCGGCCGCGTACTTGGTACAATACGCACATGGTTCGACGGAGCCGGACATCACATTAACCAGTGATTGCGACCAGCGCGGTGTGCACGCTGGCGAGCAATCATAGGCCTTGTGCAGCTGCAGCGCCTCCCGGTCAGAATAGAAGCATTCACATCCAGCATTGCAGTTCCAAATAGGTAGGATGTGGCCGCAAGTTGTGCAGCGGCACGGGTCATTGGCGGGTGGCGGTGGCGGCAATGCAGCTGGCGGCGGCGGCGGTGGCGGTGGCGGCGGCGCGATGTTTCTACCCTGTGGCCGCCAATCAGTGGGCTTGCTGCCATAGTTCGCGAGCTCGTGGGTGGCAATCAAATCGCGCGGTGGCTCGCGCAGCAGCTGCTGCAGCTCCTGGAGGTAGTCGCCGAGAGGCACGCCGCGTGCAAGCCGATCGCGCATCACGCGCTGATCCCACGCCATCTGCGCCTCGCCCGGCCACGCGTCCTCGCCGTCGGCCACGCGCCGCCGCAGCTCGTTCAACGGCAGGCTGTAGACCTGCGGCCCGTCGTCGTCGCCGCGCGCCGCGCCGTAGCCGTCTGCGCGCAGCTCGAGCTCGGTGGCCTCGCGTGTGCCCGTGTCCTCGAGCAACGGCGAGCCGCTACGCTCAATCACCAGCTTCTCCAGCTCCTTCTGAAGCTCACCCTCGTCCGCCTCGAGGGGTGAGGGGTGAGGGGTGAGGGGTGAGGGGTGAGGGGTGAGGGTGAGGGTGAGGGTGAGGGTGAGGGTGAGGGTGAGGGTGAGGGTGAGGGTGAGGGTGAGGGTGAGGGTGAGGGTGAGGGTGAGGGTCAGGGCCGCCTCGTCGCCAACTTCCGCCACCTCGGCCACGAGCTCATCGAGCAGCGACGCAATCACCTGAGGAGGGCGAGGAGGTGAGTGAGGAGGCGGAGGAGATGAGTGAGGAGGCGGAGGAGGTGAGAGGCGGAGGAGGTGAGAGGCGGAAGAGGTGAGAGGCGGAAGAGGTGAGAGGCGGAAAGGCGGAGGAGGCTCATCGAGCAGCGATGCAATCACCTTCTCGGGGTCCTCGCTCGCCATGCTGAACTTGGCGGCGGACTCGCGCGTCGCCTTGCGCTTCTCGTGCCAGCGACGCTTTTCGTCGGCCGCGCGCTTCGCCCACATTTGCGGTATGGAGTTGGGGGGTGGGTTAGGTTAGGGTTATTAGGGTTAGCGTTTAGCGAGGGTTAGGGTTTGGGTTAGGGTTAGGGTTAGGGTCAGGGTTAGTCTTGTTGTGTCTGTATATGCCAGCGTTGCAGGGTTCTGCGCTGGGATCTGGCCCCACAGCGCCGACGACTAAGACTCAGCCCCGCACGCTGACCTAGGGTTAGGGTTAGGGTTAGGGTTAGGGTTAGGGTTAGTCTTCTTGTGTTTGTATGCCAGCGTTGCAGAGTTCTGCGCTGGGATCTGGCCGCAGCGCCGACGAGTAAGACTCAGCACCGCACGCTGACCCCACCAAATGCCGCCTCAGGGCGCCAGGCCGCCAGCCACCTCTTACACGCGGCCGGCGCCCTCTCGCGGCAAAAGGGTCGAGCGAGCGGGCAGAGTCGCGATGTCTGCGCACCCGCGTGCCGATGGGCGGCACACACAACCAAGAGAGGCCCTGTCACGCCGCCAGTAGCGTTCCGCACTGCCCACGCCACCAAATGCCGCCTCAGAGCGCCAGCTACCTCTTACACGCGGCCGGCGCCCTCTCTCGCGGCAAAAGGGTCGAGCGAGCGGGAGAGTCGCACAATATCTGCGCACCCGCGTGCCGATGGGCGGCACACGCGGCCGAGAGAGGCCCTGTCACGCCGCCAGTAGCGTTCCGCACTGCCCACGCCACCAAATGCCGCCTCAGGGCGCCAGCGACCTCTTACACGCGGCCGGCGCCCTCTCGCGGCAAAAGGGTCGAGCGAGCGGGCAGAGTCGCGATGTCTGCGCACCTGGGTGTTCGCCGCCTATATGCTCTATCCTGTGCCAAGACGGACACGTTTTGACAATCAAAATCTACCTCAAAATTTGCGGCCGCCCCTCGAAATTTGCTGATCAAAATTTGCGGTGGCCCGGATCGAAACCTGTACTTTGGCCAAGTCCGAGTCTTGCGCAATCTCGCGTGACCCACCCTCCTCTTCCCTTGCACGCGAGTGTTCTCTGATTGTATATGTGTGGACAGGGAGTGTCCTGTCCTCACAGCGTCGGCGCATGTGTGTGTGTGGTTCCCAGTGTGGGGCCTGTTTGAGCGCCGACGCCGGGGTCGTGTGGCGATGTGCCTCGGGAGCTCCAGACGCAGCTCTCGGGGCACGCCAACCCAGGAGATTTAAAGGACCAATCAACAAATACAACCAACGATCAGCTGGAGAACTCGGACGCGATGGATAAAGCTCTACAGCGCTCTACACACTACACTCTACATCCTCTACACCCTCCCTCAGCCCTTTATTTATGTCTTGCGCGGTCAAAACCAACTTGCGCGTCTGTACCAGGCCGATACTTTCTATCTTTGCCGAAGTTTCCAACTGTTGTATCTCTCTCTCTCTTTCTGTATTGTGTTGCGCTGGCGCAGAGCTAGCCCGACGCGGTCCCCGTGCTCAGGCTGGTCGGCAGCCAGGTGCTGAGCAGGCGGAAGCGGTCCGGCTCGACGCACGGCCCTCCCCCCTCGAGCGCCTCGAGCCAGCGCGGGTGCACGACCGGGATGGCCCAGCGCAGCGCCGCGCGCAGCTTGTCTGGCCCGCACAGCCGCGCCGAGAGGGCGAGCAGGTGCGTGGTGCCGGGCCGGCCGGGGCCCGAGGCGCGCAGCGCGCAATCGAAGCTGCCGCCGAGGGCGACGACCCGCCGCCGCACCGCCTCCCGGTCGGCGGGCGACAGCCCGCTCGTCGTCAGCGTCGCGCCCGCGAGAGGCGGCACCCGGAAGGCGGCTGGACAGGGCCGCTTCGCCTCGCGCACGCACGCGGTCAGCCAGTCGGGCGTGACGGCGGGGATGCGCGCGCGGTGCGCCCGGATCGCCTTTGGCGTGTAGCCCGCGCCGCAGACCAGGTGCGTCGTGCCGGTGGTGAGGGAGTCGTCCCACTCGCCGCCGAGCGAGAGGACGAGAGCGCGCGCAGAGTCGCGGCGGGAGCGGTCGAGTCGCGTCGAGCAGAGGGTGCAGCCGCGGAGCAGGTTGACGCGCACGCCGTACCGCCCCGGGCTCGGCGGGCCGCTCGCAAAGTCGTCCTCAGGCCAGAGGTCGAGGCAGTGGCGGCGCCAGAGCGCGGCGTCGCCCGCCGCCGCCCGCATCCCCCACGAGACCCGCATCAGCCGCGCGCCCTCGCGCGGCGAGCACCGCTCCAGGATCGCGGCGAGCATGTCGGACGGCAGCGACGCCATGGAGAAGCCGGAGGCGCCGGCCGAAGCGACGGCGGGCGCGGCGACGGCGGCGGAGGAGGAGGAGGATTCGGCGGCCGGGAGGCGCTGGGCTGGGCGCCGAGTGCGGCTGCCCTGCGGGGCGACAAACGCTTGCAGGCGGCGGCGGGGCGTGGGTCGAGGGACTGGCTCCATCGTGCGAGGTGGTGTGGGCCCACCCGAGGGCGGTGTGCGGGCGGTGTGCGGTGTCGGCACGTCGGAAGGTGTAGTAGTCCGGAACGAGAAGAGGAAAAAAATCGCGGTTTTGCGCCGGCGCACTTCTGCGCGAGCGCGGGCGGCCTCTGCGCATGGCCGCGGGTGGATTCTACGTTGGCACCATAAACGGCGTATTTTGTGTAGCATTAGCAATATCGTCGTAAAGTTCAATATCACCGCTACCATATAAAAGATCATGAAAAAATTAAAAAACACACTCTACTCCTCACCATATAAACACACCCGAAAAAAATTGAGGTTCAAGAATGACAGCGTCAGTCGATTCTGGTTGTTTTGCGTGCCGTTGTGGATCGGTCGCTCCGGCGCCCCGGCCGCGATCGAGTGGCTGCCGGTTCGAATCCGAGCGAGTCCCATTAGCTCAGGGGTCAGAGCGAAGGTCTTATGAGCCTTAGGCCGCGGGTTCGATCCCCGCATGGGACAGTTTTTGTGGGTTTGGGTTGTTTCGGTTTGTGGTTTGTGGGGTTGTTGTGGTTTGTGGTTTCTCCGTTTGTTTGTGGGGTTTGGGTTTGTTTGTTTGTGGGGTTTGGTTTGTCCGATCTCATGCGCATCAGGGCGAGCGAACGCTCGCCCTCGGACCCGTCGGCCTTATTCGCAACGCACGACACGAGCACGCACAGAAAGATAATCACGATATTGACCTCCTCCGCCACGTGTGTTCCATCGTCGACCACACAGCGACCACACTCGTCACGAATGCCCCGAACCACACCACAACCCCTCCTTGCTCTAGCCGCCGCGCTGCTCTCCGTGGCGTCGGCCCAGACGCCGTCGGCCGGCGTGCCCTCTGACGTCAAGCACATCCGGTGCGAGACGTGCGAGTCTCTCGTGAGCGCGGCGCATCGCCGCTTCGCCGAGCTCCGCAAGGGCTCAAAGAAGGCCCTGTCCGAGGAGGACGCCATGTCGGTCGTCGAGACCGTGTGCGACCCCGAGGCGGACGGCGGAGCGTGGCTCCGGTCGCTCGATCTCCAGGAGCAGGGCCGCCGGCTCCGGCTCGTCAAGCAGGCGGAGGACGGCCCGTGCGGCGTCGAGTGCGCGACCCTGCGGCTGGCCTGCCAGGCGCTGATGGAGGAGGGCTGGGAGAACGAACTCGGCGAGGCTCTCTACGGCGCGGTCGACGCGGACGAGCTCGCAGAGAGCGCCTGCCGGGAGTGGTCGTCGGCCTGCCGCAAGCCGGCGCCAAAGCTCGACCCTGCGAGGCCGGCCGGGCCGCCCTTCCGCGCCTACACGCAGGAGGAGCGGGCGGCCCGGCTGGGCGGGCCGCCTCCGGCGGGCCTCCTCACCGCCGCCGCCCTGGCCGGCCGGCTCGGCCTGCCTCCGCCGCCCGCCTCCGAAGCCGACCCGGCCCTCGACGGCCTCGACGGCTTTGACGACGGCGGCGGGGAGACGTCCGGAAGAGGGTCTGCCCTCTTCTCGCTCGACCGCTCCGAGGCATTCCGGCCGGTCGCCGGCTGTTTGCCGCCCTGGTGCGCGCTGGTCGTCGGCGCCGTCGGCGGCGCCGTCGGCGGCGACGCGGCCGCGGCTCGGGGCCACGTCTCTGTGAGCGGCGCCGCCCCGTGGCACGACGACCAGGCGGTGGAGGCGGCGGCGCTGCTCTACGCCTCGCACGGCGGCGCCGGCGTGCTCCGCTTCTGGCGCGCGTGGGCGGCCGCCCCGCGCTGCGCCAGCCGGCCCGCCGCGCCGTGCGTGATGAGCGTGCTCCGACGGATCGAGCTGCCGCCGCTCGAGCTGGCCGCCCTCTCCGCCGCGCTGGCGGCACGCACCGAGGCGCCGATGGTGGAGGCGTGGGCGCAGCACGCCGCGGCGGCGATGGGCCGAGACGAAGGGCGCGGCGCAGTCGTCGCGGCGGCGTGCAACGAGACGCACGCCTCCATCCGGGCGGCGGTCGCGGCGGCGACAACGGGCGCGTGCGCAGGCGACGCCGCCGAGGTGGTGGACCACGCGCTCCCCTCGGCCGGAGAGGGCGCCGGCTCTCCGCGGCTGGTGGCCTACGTTGACCCGCATTCGCCCGGGCTCGCCAAGGCGATCGAGCGGCTGCTGGAAGCGGCGGCGGGCCGGTGCGCCGTGTCGCTGCGGTACCTGCCGGCGGCGGGCTCGGGCACGGTGCCTCTCTTTGGCTTTGGCATCGACGTACGCCCGCCCCCCCCCCTCCCCCCAACCCCCCCGTCCCCCCGCCCCCCGCCCCCCGCCCCCCCGCCCCCCCGTGCAAGCATCCGCTCTGTGGTCGAGCGCGGCCGCGTCAGCCGCAGGGCTCGCGGGTGATAGGTTGCGCTTCGCTCGACCGAGTACCGCGTGGTGGACGACGACAAGGAGACGGCGGCCGACGGCGATGCGGAGGAGGCGGACAAGGAGGAGGCTGCGGACGCGGCCGCCGGCGAC